CTCCATCTTTAAAATCGCACACAAATTCACATCCCAGGCTCAGAAGCTCAGAAGGGAATTCACGCTCCACACCTGCCCGGTCTGATGAGGAAATGCCACGTTTGGCTAATTTAAATTCTAAATCATTTAAAAAACAAAAAACAAACTAAATGCAATGTGGTATCCAGAACTGGATCCTAGCCCAGAAAACGGACGATACTGGGAAACTTAGGGAAATCAAATAAAATCTAGTTTCGTTAATGGTGGTGTACAATGCTTGTTTCTTAGTTTTGACAAATGTGCCAGGGTTATATAGGATGTCAAGGTTAGGGGAAACTGAGTCAAGGGTACACAGACTCCTCTGTACTGTCTTTACAATGTTCCTGTGCATTTAAAATGACTCCAAAATAAAAAAGGCATTCAATGAAGTTACACGACATTGAAAATGCAGCCACATTTCCAGGACCTGCTGACCACCGTGGCCGTGGCTACCACAGCGTACAGCGCAGGTGCAAACGCTTCCATCATGGTGAGAGCCCTGCTGGACGGACCGCTCCGCACGGTCATTCCGACCCCGTGACTCACACACGGAACTCCCACAACCTCACGCCACTCACAGGTCCTTTCCCTCGGCCGGCTACTGTTCCCCTCTCTGTAAATCCCTGCTTCTATGCTACACAATAAACCAGCCCAAGGATGACTTAGTACTTGCAGTGGTTGCCTAATCGTGCCTTGGGTTTTCCGTTTGGGTTTCAACTTGACTTCCGTGGACCTCCCAGAGGGCCTGGCATCAACTGTCCCCGGCAAGGTCCTGAGCATGCAACTCTGTGAAGAAGGAAGCCAGTGGGGGAGTCCCCGGCCCAGCGGCCCAGCGCCGACCCTACCAGCACCCACATCCGAAGAGCGGACTCCACCTGGTGGGGGCTGGGCCAGTGCTCCGCCCTCTCCCCAGCTGGTCACCCTGCAAACCTGCACTGAGCGGAAAGCAGCCCTGTGTGGAGGTGGCCCTCTCGGAGGCTCGTGGAGCTACAACTCGAAAGTAAAACCGAGCCCACGGCCTGCTTTACCCCCTCGCCACCCCCTGGCACCCGGAGTCCATGCAGGGGGCTGCCTCAGCCTGGGTTCACCTGTGGTTCCCACTGACATTCTTCCTGACCTGATTTTCCATGTTCTTCGTCAGGAGTGTCCATACTGCACGTCTGTGGTCAGTAAATGTGGTTGGGCTTCCCACACTGCCCTCACCACTGCCCACCGCCCTTGCACAAAAGTACCCCAACCCCCATCACGGCTAACCCAGAGCTGTCTTCACAGAGCCCCGGCTGCCTGGCTGCTCCCAGGAGGCGGTTTCTCAGGAGGCGGAGAAGGCAAGAAGTCTCCGCTGAATTTCACTTGAATCCCCACCCCGACCATTATGCTCAGAACAAAATCCCAACACCTTCCTCTCTCTGTCTTGGGAAGCCCAGCAGGCCCCACTGACCGACTGCCCTCCCTTAACCCCCTACCGTCCAGCCACACTGGCCCGCTCTCCATTCTCAAACATGCCAAGACCACTCCTGCCCCAGGGCCTTTGCACTGGTGTTCCCTGGCCTAGGACATTTCCCTGCCACTCCCCACACTTACACAGATTCTCACTGTCCGCAAAGCGTCAGCTGAAAGGCCACTTCCTTAGACCAACCTTCCCTGGCTCCCAGCCCCTGGGCCCTGTTTTCGTCCCTTGCATTAGCGCATTCAGGGAAGTCAGGCAGATGTCACGTGTGCTTGCCGGTCCCGCGCCCCTGCTGGCTGTAGGTTCGTGGGAGCAGGGACCACACAGGTCTGGCTTGTCTGTGGCTGTATCCCCAGCACAGAGAACAGCATCTGGCATATATTTTGAATGAAAAGGTTTGAAACGCCATCACTGTTGCTTTGCAGAAGCGTGAGCCGAACAGAAGGGGCTGAGATCCAGGGCCCTGCGTGGTCTCAGGAGGGGAGTCAGCTGCCGGGGAGATGAGGCTGCAGACGATCAGTGGTGAAGCGACCTCTTGTCCTCCCCGAGTCTATTTCTCTCCCCACAATAAATAGTCTCCGGAAGCTGCTTGCGAAACGGGATGAGGGAAGGGCTGGGAAAAACCCAGGGCTGCCCCGAAGACAGAAACCCGAGGTGGCTATTATTTTACTCTCTAGTTACGAGGTTCAGGTTAAAAAAAACGAGGGAAGATGTCAAAACATCCCGGATCCTGCTCTAGCATCGCCAGTGGGCTCTGTTCCCTTCCATCCCAGAGGGGATGGAGGGCTGGGTGTATTCTCGCCCCAGGGAGAGAGCACCACAGACACACCCCCTGGAGGCCTGGACGGACCCAGTCCTGCTCTTCCCCTGGCCCCTCTACTTATGAATGGGCATAGTGAAGCCTGACAAGGAGACGCGAGGCGCCCGAGGCCCGGTCTAACTAGGCAGAACTTCACAAGTCTAAGCGGGCCTGCCTGCCAGAGGCACCCTTATGTTAGGTGCACTAAGAAAGGAAAAAAATGCTCCCGATGAAACCGGATCCACCACCGACTGCAGGACGCACCTGACCTCCAAGATGCAGGCCAAAGTAGCTGTACAGCTATTCATATGGAAAATCCTATATAATAAAAGCCTAATATGCTAAGTTTCCGGTAGCCTGGTCATCAGTTCAACCAATCAAAGTGTAATATGCTAATGATGTGCTAAGGCCACTCAATCACTCACTATGATGTGCACTGACCAGTGCACTGACCACTGGGGGCAGACAGTTGACTGGTTGACCAGTTGCTATGATGTGCACTGACCACCAGGGGCAGACGCTCCAACTGGTAGGTTAGCTTGTTGCTGGGGTCTGACCGATCGGGACTGAGCTAGATGGGCCAGACACACCCCGGAGCCCTCCCGTGGCCCCTCCCTGGCTGGCCAACCTCTAGCGTCCCTCCCAGGCCCCGACCGTGCACTGGTGGGGTCCCTCGGCCTGACCTGCACCCTCTCGAAATCCGGGACCCCTCGGGGGATGTCAGAGAGCTGGTTTTGGCCCAATCCCACAGGCCAGGCCAAGGGACCCCACTAGTGCACGAATTTGGGCACCGGGCCTCTAGTAGTACAATAATTGTAAATAATAATGCAAGAATAAACTCTGTGTTTCATATGCTCACAACCGTAAGCCTACTTTTATCCAACCCCATATTGAAATGTGGGGGAAAAACAAAAAGTGGGTCTCAGATCAAGGGACTGGGGTTCAGTGGGTTTTGCGCTGCTTCTCATGGCAATGGCTGCGGTCAGTCTCCCAGTGACCCTGTGCGGCGCTGACCCAATGTTCTGGGTGACCCTGGACCAGAGCTCCCGAACTGGCACTACTAACATTCGGGTGGGTAATGCTTTGTGCTGGAGCTGTGCTAGCCTGTGCATTGTGGGTGGTAGCAGCATCCCTGGCCTCAGCCCACCGGTGCCTGTAGCACCTCCCCGAATGGTGACTGCCAAAACGACGGACATCGCCAAATGTCCCCTGGTCCGCAAAAACTCCCCGAGCTGAGAACCATTGCACTAGAGCCCGAGAAGTTTAACAAGCAAGGAGGGCGTGCCCCTCCTCGTGGGTCCAACGCTCCAAAAAATGTTACGTGGAAAGTTTCAGAAAGAAACAATTCCTAGTTTTAAATTGCTGGCCATTCTGAGTAGCTTGATGAAACCTTGCCCCGCCCTGCTCCGTGACCATCCCTTTGTGCGGAGTCTCCATGTGGTATGTGCTCCCGCCGTTAGTCACTTAGCGCTCGGTTCTCCGACGGCTGTCACGGTGCCACGGTGCTGTGTTCGTCACCCTTACCTTACTGATAACGCCACATTTGTGCAACCTTTATAACAGTCCATTTTCATAACTGTTCTGTTGTTTTTAGTTCTTGTTGTTAATCTCTTACTGTGCCTAATTTACAAATTAAACTTTATCACAGGAATGTACGTATGTATGTGTAGAAAAAACAGTATATACAGCGTTTGGTACTAAATGCGATCTCAGGCATCCACATTGGCGGGGGGGGGGGGGGGGGTGGAGCACGCCCCTCGCAGATGGAGGGAACTGCCATGTGTATTGCAAACAAGCAAAGGACAGAAGCCGCTACAGGGGCGTCTCCTCTCAGGCCTTCTGAGCCCTCAGGACGCTGCTGTGCACGTGACTTTCCAAAGGGGAGTGAAGAGGTTTCCAACCGTCTTTGAAGGCAAAGCCCTTTTTGGCAGAGAACTTGACAGACTGAGGCTGCCCCGACTTCCCCTTGGGAGACCCTGCCCTGGGCCCCTGGAGGGAGGGGCAGAGGAGGCAAAGTCGGCATCAGCACACTCAGTCTAACACCTTGGCCACTGGGCCAGTTCTCATCCCTGAGTCTGACCCTCTCCCCTTCTCCAGCTTCCCCGGCCACACTAGGAGGTGCAGCACCCAACCCAGGGCGGGCAGACTGGGCTCTCGCTGTGTCTGTCGGGGGTGGGGGGTGGGGGGTGGGAAGGGGAAGGCAGGAATCTGTCACACCCACGCCCTCTTGCCCAGGGGGTCTGAGCCAACTCCCCCTCCCCCCCACC